ATCCAATTTCATCAGGATCAGCTCCTTGGCTAACCAAATATACTACTTCCTGCAATAAGCTGGTGCCTGCAAATGTAATAAAGAGAAAATAAATGCCTACAGACAAGCTTCAAAAGATCAAGAAAAATGTTTTACATAGAAAGAATGAGTGGATGTGCCTTCAAGTTGATTGTTGACACGGTGATCCCATGAATGTCATATGGCTTTCTGAGGCAGGAAGTGGTTTTGCTTCTTAAAGTGTGGGGCACAGCCCCAAATAGGGTCCCCTAAGACCCAAAAAACTGTCAACAGTAAACATTTTCTGAACTTTTGGCAGTTGCAGATATTTACACAAATCTATTGTGCAGTGTTACAGTGCACCACGAGATGCAGAGCCACCTTAGGAAATAGGGCTACAAAGTGGAATCCACGACATGCGAGTGTGAGAAGAGCAAACCACTGACCACCTGCTGCAATGCAACCTGAGCCCTGCCACATGCACAATGGAGGACCTTCTTGCAGCAACACCAGAGGCACTCCAAGTGGCCAGCTACTGGTCAAAGGACATTTAATCAACTACCAAGCTTGCAAACTTTGTTTGTTTGTTTGTTTGTTTAAAAAATGCAATACAACTGTTTGGTTTGCTCCTGACATGATAAATAAATAAAAATATCACTATATTGTACTATACCATCATATTGTAATATTATTAGTAATATTACATGTAATAGATAGATAGATAGATAGATAGATAGATAGATAGATAATCATGTCCATCAGTGTATATATCCTGATCATATGAATATTGATGGATCTGTATTATTCAACCCCAAGGTCAGTAAAAGCCCATGTCCCATTCTGTTACTTAATTGCTTTGCTTTGCTTTGCCAGGAAGCCTTTATGATTTCTACAGCATGCTTTTAGGAAAATGGCACCACGGTTTCAGTTCTGATAGCAAAGAGAAATCACATGCCCTCTTCCACTAAGATCTTTTTGAGATACAACCCCAGCAGCTTTATATTCAATTGTGAAGGATGTTGGGAGTTATAGTTAAGAGCCTAGGTGTCGTTTTGGATTAGCAGCTGACAATGGAGGCTCAGGTCGCTGCTGCCAGCAAACAGGCCTTTTTCCATCTACGACAAGCGAGGCAACTGGCACCTTACCTGTCGGATGAGGCTCTGGCAACAGTCATCCATGCCACGGTCACATCTAGGCTGGACTATTGTAATGCCTTGTATGTTGGCCTTCCTATTTCTACGACCCGAAAGCTCCGTATTGTCCAGAATGCTGCAGCCAGGTTACTCACAAAAACGCCCATGAAATGCCATATAACACCAGTGCTGCGGCATCTACACTGGCTCCCAATTGAGTATAGTGGTTTGTATAAGATGCTGGTCCTGACCTTTAAAACTTTATTTGGCCAGGGTCCATTGTATTTTAGAGACCGTCTCCTCTTCTACCATCATCGGAGGTCACCACGACCATCCCAACGTGATTTGCTCTATATGCCGGGTCCTAGGGAAGTGCACTTGGAGAGCACCAGACGCAGGGCCTTCTCTGTTTCTGCCCCTGCCTTATGGAATTCCTTGCCTCCCTATTTGAGAGCCATGCGTGACTTAGGGCATTTTATCCTAGCACTTAAGACCTGGCTTTTTACTGGAGCATTTGACCCATGTTAATTTTAATATTTGTATGTATGTGTTTTATCCTGTATAATTTCTGCTATGTAAATTGCCTGGAGCATCTTGGATGGAGGGCGATTAATAAGTAATTAAAGATGATGATGATGATAGTCTAATATCTGAAGAGTTGCATGGTTTCCATACTTACATTAACATTATGTGAAGGAATTTGGCAGTTTAAACCAAAAACGAAACATTTAGAAGCCCAGAAACCAAGTGCTTCAGCCTTGTCTCATTTAAAAATACAAATTCTATTACACAATTATTTAGAGCTACTGCGGTCAAATCCAAAATGACAGGGGACTGACTTTCCAACTCTTTAATTTGTGCCTTTTTTTTGTGCTGAAGTTAAATACTCTCTTCCCTAAAATGACTTTTACTACCCTCGGGCAGAGATAGTTAAGTGCCCATACATTTTCATAGCTTCAGCCCCCCCCCCCCCCCCCAAATCAAACTCAGTACCACCCGCATCAAAATCCTGGCTACAGGCCTGTGCCGACCGGAAGGCAGATAGTTCAAATCCATGGAACAGGGTGAGCTCCCATTGTTAGCCCCAGCTTCTGCCAACCTAGCAGTTCGGGGGGGAAAGCAAATGTGAGTAGATCACCACTTTGGTGGGAAGGTAACAATGCTCCAAGAAGTCATGCCAGCCACATGACCTAGGAGTTGTCTACAGACAACGCCATTTCTTCGGGTTAGAAATTTTGCTGAGCACCATCCCCCAGAGTTGGGCACGACTAGACTTAATGTCAAGGGGAAACCTTTACCTTTACCTATGAAGCATAAATGTTTTGACTTGGGTCCCATCTCCAAGCTATCTCACTATATACATATATGTAAATGCAGGTATTCCAAAATCTGGAAAGAAAAATCCCAAATCCAAAATACTTTTGATCTCAAGTATTTTGGATAAGGCATACTCAATCTGTACGTTACCACATTTCAAACCCAGGATTCCACACAGAAATAAAATCATAATGTTGTAAGTGTGTAGTGTGAAAGGCCTTCTGAACTCCATTATGAGCCACAAGGATATACTAATATAATCTGCCATCTGGAAACCTCAAGCCTGAAGTCTTGGCCCAAATGAATGAATGTGTTCAGAGCTTGAGGTTCAATCTGCAAGGCAATTATGTAGCTCAAGGATTTCAGAGACAGCAGCCAAAAACTTGAAAAAGGGAGAACAACAGGACAACAGAAATCGTTTGCATCAGTCACTGTGGTATATGCTTGATGCTGAAATCCTCCTGATGTTGACATCCTTCCACAGAATGATCTCCAGCAAGTAACATGTGCAGCACAGCTGAGGCAGAATGACAGCTCCCTTGTTGGTTTTGAATAGCTCAATTATGCCCGGCAGTTGCACATGATGAAAAAGGAGCACATTAATCTAGAAGCCATGGCTTGGACAGAAGGGGGTGTGTATATTGTTATTGTCTCAATTTAATTGCCAACTAGGCATTACCAACTAGAGTTTTGGACTAGCAGTGATTTGGATTTTATCCATGATTTAAGGATAATGGAGGCATTACGTAACTTGTTCTTAGTTCTGAAAATAATTGTTTGTGACAGTGGTTTGCAATCATTGTTTGTAATAATAACAATTAAATTTATGTGTTGAGGTGGTTGTTCTAAAAATCTATCTATTCCCCTTGTGAGTTTTACAATAACTTTTATCCCGTATAACAGCAGAACGATAAAAGTGAAACTCTATACACATGTGTGTGCTTTTTCAGTATTAAATCCCATTCTGTTCAGTAGGATCATCTTCTTAAAAAGGATCCTTATGATTGTAGTCACTGTGTCCATAAGCAGTCATGTTTTTTTTTCTGTAGTTTGAAGCCATTGTTCCGCTTCCTAATCTCCAGGACAGCAGAAAACAAGTTTGCTCCCCTCTCTATGACTTCCTCTCACATATTTATACATGGCTATCATGTCTCCTCTCAGCCTTCTCTTCTTCAGGCTAAACATGCCCAGCTCTTTAAGCTGCTCCTCATAGGGCTTGCGCCAGCTGCGCCCATACCTTGGGAAGTCTGACTTGGTCATGGTATTCCACGCTCTAGTTACATCTCGTATAGACTACTGTAACGCTCTCTATGTGGGGTTGCCTTTGAAGACTGTTCGGAAGCTCCAAATGGTCCAACGGGCAGCAACCAGGTTTCTAACTGGAGCAGGGTACAGGGAGCACACAACTCCTCTGTTACGTCAGCTCCATTGGCTGACAGTCTGCTACCGAGCACAATTCAAAGTGCTGGCTTTAGTCTATAAAGCCCTAAACGGTTCTGGCCCTGCTTATCTGTCCAAACGTATCTCTCCTTATGAACTATCCAGGAATTTAAGATCTTCTGGGGAGGCCCTTCTCTCTGTCCCGCCTTCTTCACAGGTTTGGTTGGTGGGGACGAGAGATAGGGCCTTTTCAGTGGTGGCTCCTCGGCTATGGAACGTCCTCCCCGGAGATATTAGATCGGTTCCCATGAATTCCTATGAACACTGCACATATGTTATTTGTAGTGCAAAAAACACTTTAAAACAATACAATAATTAAAATGAAGAACAATTTTAACAAATATAAACTTATAAATATTTCAGTGGGAAGTGTGGACCTGTTTTTGGCTGATGAGATAGGATTGTTGTTGTTGTTGTGTGCTTTCAAGTTGTTTCAGACTTATGTTGACCCTGAACGAGGGCCGGATAAATGACCTTGGAGGGCCATATCTGGCCCCCAGGCTTTAGTTTGAGGATCCCTGGGCAAAACCATCTCCAAGAATTCCTTTCTGAAGAACACCACACAAAATGCATGGGGTTGCCATGAGTCAACAGCAGTCTTTTGTCTTCAGTGAGCTGTGGTCAGCATCTGCTCAACTGGAGTCAAAAATAGATATTTAATAGGATACCTAAAATGCCTACCCCTGGCAAAGCTACCCGAATAGTGTCATTCATAGCATCGCCATAAATCAACAAACAATTTGAAGGAACACACACATTTGCCGTCAGGATGCAAAGCACAAGTGGGAGCATTTGTAGACAGTAAGCAGAAGAAACTACTTTATATAGTCATGTACACATGCAAGTAAACCTCATCTATAAGTCAGGTACAGGCTTGGGAGATATAATGATGGATAGGTCGAGGGTCATTTTGCGGAGAGGGGAAGCACCAATGCCAACTTAGGGTGCCAGCTGCCCTTGACACCACTTTTAACTGCCATGGCTCAATGGGATGTTTGGTGAGACAATAGTATTCCCTAGCAGAGAAGGTAAAGGCTTTGTAAAACTACAAGTATAATGTTTCCATAGCATTGATCCATGGCACTTAAAATGCATGAATTCTATAGTGTAGATGCACCCCCAGCACAATCTATACTAGATATGGCTCTAATACTGAGCTAATAAACTGAAAACTTTTTA